TGCCTAGTTCGATCGTGCCGATGTGCAAAACAGCTCGACGGAGAGGGTCTCTTCTTTACAGGCCACTGAATACCAACAGGCCGATAGGTAACCAGCAGTGTGATGTAGCCAAATGTGATAATACTGTTTCAGTAAGTGTAAATGTACAATCTTTTTCAGTAGTACCTATATCAGTTGCTTCAGCAGTAAGACCAACCGTTGCAGTAACCAACCAACCACTTGTGAGCTTTGAGTTAGTCTCACCTGACCACTGTTAACGGTCACAACGTCGTACGACTGATGGAATTATGCATAATAACATACACCCATTTTTATTGCTATTTTCAATACTGAATTAGTTGATTTTTTCATTATGATGAGAAAATCGCATTATAACGTTTCCTTTATGATTAAAAAATGTACTTACAAAGTGTTCTAACACAACCAGGTTACCTAGACAAAAATTTTCTTGAGCGTTTATCAGACGTGCATTCATTACTGGTTCAGGGAGGATTAAAATTTTTTGACCGCCACAGAAATAGTTGATCACGTTTGTTTCTGCTCATATTTTCGAACAGAATGATGGAATTTGCTCAACCCTTCGCCGCTGATGACAGTTCCCGCATGTTAAGGATTCATTAAGTTTGCATCCGGTGCATCTAATTCTTTAAATGACTGTATTTTGGCGTTCAGATGAATGATAGCTATGAACTGGTTTGCATTTTTGTTCCCAACAATTTGTGACATCTGGTCTCAGCAAAGTGAAAAAAATGAAGTTTCACTCTGCGATTCACTGAGTTCCGGTAGATGATCGTGAACTGAAGATCAAGAACTAGCCGAAAAAGTGATGCACTGGATCATCTCTAATCTTTTTTGTTTTAGACTTGAGGCCGTACAAATACGCAGGCTACACCTGCCTCATCAACATTATTCGTGGTGAAGTTAATAACGATGATCTGTTTTCGAAAGACGGATCGTTGCTCATGGCTGCGACTGAATTGTGCTGGCTCACGTTTGAGTGCTCTGTGGTCAACGCAGAGCAGTTAAGACGGGAAGGCGGATTGGAAGTGAGTTTCTTCCGTCATCACAGCATCTTGACGCGAATTTTAGGCTCTCAACTAGGTCTGACAGGCCGTTGCGTGCTATGCCAGCATGGAGAACAACTTTACAGACTAGCTAATGACTTATGAGTTATGTCTGACACCCCTGCCCTCTGAAAATTTAATCATGTGAAACAAAGTTGTTCTTTTTTACTCGAATTTGTGACCTAAACTTTAGTATACAAATATTAGGCTTGGAGTTTCATTTCAGATAGCAAGACGCAAAATTCAAACTAAAGCTAACCTCTTACTTGAAACAGGCCCGTAAAATGCGCTATTCATCATTCGAGTCTATTGTTTTTGCGATTGCTCCATAACCTGGCTTTCCAAAATTTTGTACAGAAGGTTTTAAACCACATATGCCTTATAACTGCCAATTATTTGCCACGGATGTAGGCAAATATTTATTTGGCTAGGCGGGTTTTACAAACTACATGAAGCACATGAATGTGTTTGCTTGATGGTCATACGCGCATTTTAAATTTAGGTACTCGGCTGCACACTTTCTCGATGCGTTTCCGTACTGAACGCCTCCTCGAAAGACGACGATATGGCAGTTGTCGTGGTCGAAAACATCTGTCGGTGCTTTGCCTCCGCGGCGCAGTTTCCTGACTGCAGGAATGTGTTGGCCGCATTGCCGTTACTGTGCATGAACATCCGTTTGATTCTGAAGATGAAGGTAAGCACAAAGCGTTTTTAAAGTAAAGTATGTTTTATTCTTTTATTGTTCAGTCACCATCTTCGTGCTATGTTTTCTTACTAGCTGATTTCAGCACCTCCGAAAGATGATGTTCCTGGTCTGTGAATGCATAAGCTCGTTGTCTCTCAGCGGTGATCTACAGAAGGGCCTTTTCGACCAAGGTTTGTTGTTCGATCTGTTCCAGTTCATGCTGCAATACGACTTTACGTTGGATGAAGGCGGCGTCCCAAGCTCCGATGAGGCCAACGTTCAGGTACACTAATTCACGTTGTCTCAACTGCTATTGCTTCAGAGTTTGTTTTTCACTTGATTTAACTTAATGGCATATCCGTCATTGCTTTCACAAGATTCTAAAATCATTCAGTCTTTAATATAGCTTATTTAGAAGTTAGTTTCTAACGTTTGCAGTGATATGCCCATGAAAGTTTGTAAATTCGAAGCTGAATAGAACGAAAGGAAAAGCTTAACTTTTCGAGAAACAGTTGATTGATTCTAAATTTAGAAGAAAAATGGAATCGCACTGTATTAATTAAAAATACACATGAATATGAATCTGAAATATTAGAAAATCGATTTATCTTAAAATATAAATCTAATTCCAGCAGATTTATCTTCACAGTTGAACACAGTTTATTTCTGTGCCGTAATAAACAATAGTAATATTTTTGTCTTCATAGCTATCAGCTGTGTGCTTAGTTTATGGTATAAAATAGTAATTAAAATCACCAAATATAAGGAATCGAAAAGCACATATAGGTTAGTCATTAATGTTCCCTTGTTTAATTTTTGGGCATTCCCTAGCGCGACATCCCACACAACCTGTGAATTTTTAGCGTGTTGTCATTTGCATATCTGTCTAAGAAAGAAGCTGGTTCTTCCTCACAGTGCGCCGCCGTCTTATGCCGTGAAATGTAACTGCATGAATCGATCGGCATCTTCGGGAATAAGTATTTGCGTAATCGCCGTGATTCTTAAATGAACCAAGTTGCTATACTTGCATAAGCGAATCTTGCAAGTTGTGAAAAGTACAAAAAGACTTACCTATAAGAACACAGAAAATTGCCCTTTTGAAAGCCTCGTGTGCGCGGTATTCACTGTGAAATATTATAGCTGATATTTGTTGTTAAAGCTTCCTGTCCTAAAATTATCGAGCCCTTTGAGACAGAGCTTTACTCTCTGCGCAAGGCGTACTTAGCGTGAGATTGTGCAACCGGGTAACGAACGAAAATATATTGTGAGCCATCGTTCTGGAATAAAGCTATTAGGAGGAATTAGTAATTAGCGCCTGACCTGGTTCAGTTAAATCGCCTAAAAAGTGAATGAA